CAGCAGGAACAAGCCAAGTTGAAGAGAGCATTCACAATGCTTATTGCTCTCTTATTGATAAAGCAGAGCACTTTATTTACATTGAGGTACAAAATAGGTTTCTCATACCTAATGTATTTCAATGTTTTTATGTAACCATATCTTGTGCTTAAGCTTACGGTTACGCTTATGGATATATTATATGTGCCAGGAAACATGTGCTCAAAATAAAGAGCATTTTGGAACTGTGTTCACAATTTGAGAAGCAGTAATGTTGCTTAATATGAATTTGCAAGTATATACACAATTTCTTGTCAATTTGTCATCATTTACACCACAGTTCTCTTAATTTTTCCGACTCTAAAGGGAAACAATCCATGATGGCTGTTCTAATGCATGTTGTATTCATTACAGCCTTTTATTAAGGATGGAACTTGAAACAATGTGGCATTATCAATGTTTATGAGCCAAACAGCTGCGATGGAAACTATATATTGATTGCCATCTCAATAGTGACTATAGGTGTCAATTACTTGAACATATTAGTAAAAAAAAATTATGTTACCGTGAACAAAATGATCATATTTCTGATCTTTCTGGTTTGCTGATGATCTGACTTCTTTTATTATTTGTCAAGGGACCTTTACTGTTGATTATTTTCCTGACTTATTCTTAATTTTTGGCAACTTCTTCCCAGAATCAATTCTTCATATCAGGTCTTTCAGGAGATGAAATAATACGGAATCGTGTGCTAGAAGCATTATTTCGACGTATTATGCGAGCATACAATGATAAAAAGTGTTTTAGAGTTATAATTGTCATACCACTCATACCCGGCTTCCAGGTTCCAGTTCTTGTCAAAATCTATCACATTTGGAAATTGTCCATGTTCCGACAGAAAAAAAAACTATATTTGTCCATGTATTCCTTGTGCTGATTTTGTAGTTTAACAGGGGGGTCTGGATGATGCTGGTGCAGCATCTGTCAGAGCTGTTATGCATTGGCAATATCGAACTATTTGCAGAGGACAATTTTCAATATTGCAAAATCTTAATGAAATTCTTGGTCCAAAGACACATGATTACATTTCTTTCTATGGCCTTAGATCTTATGGTAAACTCTTTGATGGCGGTCCTGTGGCCTGCAGTCAGGTATTTCCCTAGCACCAGTGTACCTTATGTCTGCTACATGCATCTCTTTCCAATCTAAGATATTGTTCATATGTTTGTCAAGATTGTAGCTTTTATCTCATCATTATGTATTTTTTTTGGCGCTGCAGGTCTATGTGCATAGTAAAATCATGATTGTTGATGATTGTACAACTTTAATTGGATCAGCTAACATCAATGATAGGAGTTTGCTTGGCTCAAGAGATTCTGAGGTATCTCTCCTGCTCTGGTTTCTCCTGCTTTATCTTAATTTTCATTTGGTGGTGTTTCCAAACCTTAAAGTTGGAGAGCATAGCTGCTTTATATCATATTGAGGTTATGAAAGGCCGGAGTGCATTAAATAACTTGATAATGCATTTATACTGAATAAAATGCAACGTAATGTGAACTGAGCATATAGGCAAATAATTGGAAATGTAGAATCTAAGTTTTGTTGATAATTTAAATTTCTTGTATCTGTTTCTAGATTTATTATCATTTTGGTCAAATGAGCAATTGTTCTTTTGTGTTTTTCCAGCCAGTGTGTTAAGGTGTTTATTCATATTTGAAAGGGAGATAGGAGTATAAATAATGCCCTATGCTTTGCATTGGAAAATTAGATAACTTGCCAAACTATGAAATAGCCAATGAGATGTGTAGATCAGTGAATAGTTCCCATATTACCAATTGAAGGCACATGAACTCCTTGTAATTATGATGTTATTGCTCGAACTTCCTAGGCTATGTATGTGTTGGATTATGAACCTTGTGAAAGTAGTCGAGTTATCCTTGTAACTTCGATCAATTTTTCTGTTGAAGTAACTTCCTTACTTTTCTCCTCCTTTTTTGGTCGAAACTTGCATTTTACTATCTCATATACATACGATTTCAGTATGGTGTGGCTTCTGCGTAAAAATCACTTTTGTTATGCTCCTGTTCTACATGCGTGGTTACATGGTAGCTTCCATTAACTGACATTATTCTGTATTTTAGATTGGTTTACTTATTGAAGATAAAGAAATGATTAATTCGCATATGGGAGGAAAGCCATGGAAGGCTGGAAAGTTTTCATTAAGTCTTCGGTTGTCACTGTGGTCTGAACACCTTGGTATTCGAGCTGGAGAGGTTAGTAAATCTAGTTGTGCTGTTTCGGTTTTCTTTATTGTTGATTTTTAATTCGGGCGTTTTATGAACTAGTCATACGTTAAACAGCAGTAGTCACTAAGCTAATTGTCTTTGTACATCTTTTATTTTGTTTTCAGATGAATCAAATAATCGACCCAGTTGTTGATTCAACTTACAAGGATATCTGGATGGCAACTGCAAAGGTGTGAAAAACTAGGAGAAAAATATCTTAATGAGCAGATTTATATTTGTCGAAGGATGTCAAGTGGAAGCGTCGATTTTGCTGAATATATATTGTGCTCTTTATCTGCAAGTAAATAGTAACATATATTGTTTTTTGGGTGGACAGGCAAATACCACAATCTACCAAGATGTCTTTTCTTGCATACCAAATGATTTTATTCATTCCAGGTATATGCATTTCTAGTCTTTTGCTAATCCTTCTGTGTTCTTACTGTGCTAACAAGTTGTTTGCCTCATCTTGGCATGGTTGACCTTGCGCAGAGCCGCATTCAGACAAAACATAGCCTACTGGAAGGATAAAATCGGGCACACAACAATCGACTTAGGAATTGCTCCTGAGAAGATAGAATTATATCAGAATGGAGATATGAAGAAAGCAGATCCGATGGAGAGGTTAGGATCTGTGAAGGGTCATCTTGTATCGTTCCCCTTGGATTTCATGTTAAAAGAAGACTTAAGACCTGTGTTCAAGGAGAGCGAGTATTATGCCTCTCCTCAAGTATTTCATTGAACACGATTTTGAAGTAACTCATTCAAGCTCATCTTTGGCGGCCTTCAATTTCAGATTTTAGTTTTTGCACATATTTTTATGAAAGGAAAATATATGTCCAATGAATTTGTAGACTAAATTTATAGAGAAAGAGAAGAGGGGCGCAAGCTCTGCATTACAACTATTTAAACAATGTAGTTAGAAACAAGAGTTGAATAAAATTAATTGATTCTTGTCATTGGTTATGACACTTGCTCAGAATTTCTCAGATGGACAAGGCTGCGCTTAGGGAAATTATCTTCTTATGACATGTTTACTTTATCTGATTTTCTGTTTTCAGGATATTTGATTATGAATTTTTACCCATGTGTGTTAGTAAACAGAAAAAAAAGGAACGGTGATTATTCTTAGTAGTTGATTTGATTTCTAGTTTCGTGGGGATATTTGATTTCTAGTTTTGTGGGGATATTTGATTACGGATTTTAACGGATTGTAAGTAAACCTGCCATTAATTTCAATCCAGCAAACTAATCAGTATTTCTTCAACATTTTCTCCCTCATTCCACTTGTTGCTTGAAATTCATGTTCGACATCCAATCATTCAAAATTGCCCTTGGGTTGATTCAATTTTGAGAGTTAATTTTATCTGGGGTATTCAAAAAAGCAAATGAAATTGAAAGAAAATGATAGGAAAAGTTTCAGGAACAAGAGAGAATTGGAGCCCCACCGTGGAGGCGAGGCTTTCAAAAATTGACGTGCACGCCCACCGAAGTAGGGTGGAACTAGCACGCACGAAAAGTGTGTTCGAAATAATAGGTGTTGGCACGACCCGCCGTCTCTATACGATCATTGACGAGTCATCCTCTACCCCTGACAGGACAGGTTAACTCAAATGGTTCCGGCTTCTCTTTACTTATAGGCAGAGCCATACACTTCACTAACTAAAACGTCGATGTGGGACAAATTGTTCACAAATTTATAAATCTCTTGCAGCCTACTGCGCCCAAAATACTGCGAAACCAAGGTGTTAAGGGTTGCGACTGTCCTAAACACACATAATTATTAGTAACTACGAATTTTTGTTAGGTCCCTTGGGTTATTGATTTTGTTCATAAATAATGAGGAAAAGTAGATATGTAAGTACCAGCACGAGGGCTGTATGTATAATGTATGTATGTGAGGAAATTCCTACGGTTTTTATTTGTATTTTTAAATTCATGTATGGTTTGCCTTGACTGCTTTGATACATTGATTCATAGTTGCCTCAATCTTTTGTTGCCTCGTCTCAAGCCATAGTTGCCTTGATATATGGTTTGTTAAATTTATGGTTGCCTCGGCATATTGATTTTGTTCACAAATAATGAGGAAAAATAATAGGAGGGGCAGTGAGATAAATTTTATAGAATACGACACAACTATAGGAACACACGAGGTGAACTCAACATCATTAGATCCCTTCTGCATCTTTGAAATACAAAGTACTGCTTTTGACAAATCAATGTAACAAGGCTTTCTAAACATAGGGCCTTAACCACCATACCGGGTCTTGAGGGACTCTGGAGGCTCTTCTTCCATGATGCCTGAACCTGTTGTAGCAAGGTACTCGCGGATAGTCGTTTTACGGTCTCCAAGGAAAGTGTGATCCAAGAAGTTGTTGTACGCTACCTCGCTCAGATTCTTTGCTGCTAAGACACTACAAATGGATGTTTGATCATCCACTTTAGTTCATAATTCATATGAGGAGTAGTTGGAATGGAAGTATGTCATGTAAGACTAAATCTCTAGCAGCAAATCAACATCACATAGGATTACAGCTTGTACAGAACAAAACATAACAATAACTTACGTACAGTAGAAGAAGACATTGTCAACTTAAGAACAAGTGAGTCTTCTATTCTCAACAAAACAATATGCCCTGGCTATTGAATAGGGTTTAGCTGCTATAAAGAATGTATATTTGAGAGAGCAGGGACAAAACTCATATACTAGTGTAGTTAGCCATCCTTATCTGACCTATTACATATAAGAAGGAACTCATAATCACTGTAAATTCAGAAAATGATTACTAGTATTAGGACTATGCTGTCCTAGTTTTAGTTTAATACCACGTCTGCTAGACAGCATACTCATTGATACTCAATAATAAGGTTCTAACATGTCAAATAAGTTTGTTTTGTTCTCTCATCTTAGAACAAAAAAGAAAAACAAATCTGAAAAGGACAAAGCAGCTTGTTTAAAGAAGCACTGGCAAAGCCATTAACCTACCCATGATCAAACTCAAATGATGAGACGAAGGAGAAAAGCCAAAGCAAACATATATTGACTAATCAGATTCATCATTAGTCCTCTAACACATTCAAGTGCAATTAAGTTGGTCTATGAGTTGATTACTTCTACTGATAAGATGTGGGTCACAATGCAAGAGCTTGTTCTTTTGGTCTGACAGACCAGGATCATTCATTTCTTTCAAGCTGACTGCTAGTTGGTAAGCTGACTGCTAGTTGGGGATCATTCAAATCTTTTTGGTAGCAAATAAAGCAAATAAGTATATCCAAAGTGAGGACATACCAATGCCGAAGGTAAGTGCGACAAGGTAGGATATCATCTCGCCAGATCTTATCAATGCCATATCGTCCAAATAGCTGAAAATACATCTCCTTACTTCCTGAAATCCAGCCAGAAAAAACCAGCAGCATACATTAACATCAATACCCCATCATTATGTAATGGTAAATTATGGAATTGGATGGGGTAGCACAATCGTTTGGCTAAAACCAATCATAAATGGCATTTCTTCGTATCTAACATTGCTCTCAGAAACTACGAGTTAACTACACTTATATTTCTGTTTACTATCTATCTTAATTGGGAAACTGTTAAAATTAAACAGTAGTGAAGATTTACCTTTGCATCTAACTCTGAAGAACTCTTCATCACTATAACGAGCACAAAGTACCTGCATTCATTCACCCCAATAACCAAACTAAACTGAGAAAGTACAGGGGAAAAAAGCCTAATAAGGTGAAGCTATTGGCATTACATATTCACATTTTCCACTCACCGCTCGATTATCAAATGACTTCCCATCAAGTGTTTCAGGCAGAACCTGCAAGACAAACAAATAATTCCAAATGAAAATACAAATCGTTTTTTTTAAATAAAAAATTAAGAACTTGATGGTAGGCAACAATCTAGCAACTTACAGCTAGGAATCGAAATTCAGGTTCCCTCTTGATAAAAGCTGGAATCTGAAGTTGTTAAATCAGCATATGAGTTGCGAATTAGCTCTCATGGAATTAACTAGTTTCCTTCTACCTAGTTCTCAAAGATTCAATATTTAACAGGTACTGAAACACACATAACATTAACTTTATACCTCTGATTTTGTAATCTCGAACACTGTTACTATAAGGCTTTCACCTTCACAAGGCTCTACACTCAAGCTTGCAATCTCCTGCCCCATTCATAAAATTAACAACAAAATTCAGATTTTAGAATTTACATAACAAATTGTTTTCCCAAACTTGTAAACGAACCAAACACAAAAATTGATACTTTGAATCGTTGAAGAATATGCGAACAACAAAAGCATAAACATTTCATAAATTTTTCTTTCAGTTTCTTTGATTGACCTTGGTTTCAGGCTTGGCAATGCCACGCTCGAAGAAAATGGGAGCCATGTGAGCATACGCTCGACGAAAGCCGTTCAACCACGCAACTCGGAAGTTGATCAGGTCCGGAAATGTACTCCTCGCGCTTCTCTCTACCTCCCAAACACACCGCACCAGTTAACAAGTCAGCGTACGACAACAAGCACATCAAAAAAGCGACGGTGATGGTGTAGGTGATTGAATTTGTACGTACCGGAGAGGAGGGAACCGAAGCCACAGATAGAGATGTAACCATCGGGTGAGAGAATGGTTTCGAAATCCGACTCCTCGTTGAGTTCCTTCGGTGGCGGCTGGGCCGCTGGAGAGCTTGATCGGCCGGAGTCTGACATAGTGATAGGAGACTGTCGCCGGCGATGGGACCGGTGGAATGGAATGAGCGTTGAGCTGTGTAGGGTTGGGGTTGGTGCTGGGAAGGTGAGGTGGGAGTTGGAGAGAGGTTGGCGTTGAGGGCACGCGCCGCGCGCGAGTGAGTGAGGAGATGGATGGAACGAGAGACGGAGAGCAGTGGTTGTCATGAGGAAGAAGACGCGCACAGAGGCAGAGACAGACTTCTATTTTTGAGGGTGCCATCGGAACTTGGAAAATCAGGTCGTTTATTGAAAATTATGTCGTTTTTATGTAAACGACAGTAACATAAAAACTCTTATCCGTAAAACTCGAGGTTAATATAATGTAAATTTTTATTTTGAAAATGTTGGTTTTTAATTTTCGCTATCAATAAAACTCTTAGCCATCTATCTTAACTAAATATATAGGGTTTAACGTGTTTTAAGAATACCTGGGAGTATAATGCTATGATTATAAATGTTGTATTATTAATATTCTTGAAGTATGTATCATTGTAAAGGGGCTTCTGAAACTAAAATGTCGTTAATCCTTTATTATACCTCGATTATTTTGGTGCGTGATGCTTTAATTTATGATTCTTTCAATATTTGATATAAGAATTGGTTTTTTTTTCTTTTCCAGGATCTAAGAATTGGTTAAATAGAATCATGTTGGGCTTTCTTGTTACATAGTTGACAGCATTCCAAATCAACAAAGGCATACATTTATATATACACATTTCCCATAGTAAACTAAGGCAACAGTAATCGGCATCTACCCAGATTTTTTTACACATGAATTTTGTGAGATCATAGATTCATAAGGTTGGCATGTTGTGAGGATGAAGTGTGAAAGAAGAGGCAAATAGCTGAGATGTCATCCATGGCGATGCCTCGTTTCTTAGACTTCCATGCAAGAGTGGCACATCCCACAAGCCTTTTAGCTGCTTTTTTCCTATCTGGAGTGGAGGAAACTATCTGGACAGCTTCTTCGTTGGAGATAACATCCCATACCTGATGAAGCAAAGCAAAGTCATTGAAGATTTGTTCAATGGAGTTGCTTTACTGTGCACATCTGCAATTTTTCTTGATACAATTTGGAACAAAGTTGGAAAATAAATTGAAATGTGCTTACCCCGTCTGTTGCTAGAATGACAAACTGGTCTCTGCTGGTGATATGCCTTTGACTGACAGCAGGCACTGAGATAAGCCCAAAATCCTTAACACAATAGTCGCCAAAGGCTCTTGATATTGCCAGTCCTGGTGTCTTACCATTTGGCATCCAGACCCTGTAAGTCCCTGGTTCATCATGTAAGCAAAATACTCGTCCATTGGATCTTGTTATTCGTTCTGCCTCCTCTGTAACAGGAAAGAGTCCCCAAAGAGCCCCAAAATATTTAAGTACAATGTACACATTTTGTATATCAAGGAGACAGAGACAGAGACAGAGTGAGAAAACCAACGAGGTATATTGGGTTTAAAGTCCACTGTAAGCTGAAGAGGTACCAAACTCCCATCTTCTGAAATGAAGGCCAAGACAGCCCGGGAGTCACCGACATTTGCGACGATGAGATGTTCGCCCTGGAGATCATTGATGAGGATATTTTAAGGGTACTTGTCATGCAATTGCTACACTCTAGCTAACACTACCAGTCCAAGATTCTGGATATTGAAATCAAACGTCTGGATCCTATGGTTTAGGGTTTGACTGGCACCCGTTGGATCAACATAATTAGCAGAAAAAAGGTTTTCTGGTAGCATATTTAATTGCCACACAAGAAAGGAAAGTAAGTAAACTATGCTACTCAAAATATATGACAATTTCTTCTGATTACCTGCTTAACAATTGTTGATGCTGTAGCGCCACTTCGATAAGAATCCATTTTAGAAGAATGCTTAAGCTCCTGGTCAATGGCAGCATACGTTTTAAGAAAGGATTGCTTCCATATATCAAACCGATGGATGTTTCTATCCATCTCCATTTCGAAGTCGAGGTTCAGTGATGCTAAAGTGAGAGTCTCTTGCCAATTGCACAACAAAGAAGCAGGCATTGATTCCTTGACCCTTTTGCTAACATGGTGGCCCCATTGGCCATGCCCATCAAATATCCCACAAAAGATCATGTCCTCTTGGCATCCAAATTCCTACCAACCCAGCTTGTGAAAATATGGAAAATATATAGCATATGTTTTGAAACAAGCATATTTGCAACAAATAGAAAAACATTCTCAAACTGTGGACTTACCTCCCAAATGAATAAGCAATCTTGATTGATCCCCTTCTGGCCTCTCTTGGAGCAAACAGAGGAAAAATTGTTAGACTTATCAGACATAACAATGCCAGAAGAAGAACTCAAAACCAGCTCATTCTTTTTCGCTTCCTTTTCCAATGCTTCTGCAGTTTTCCTTGCAACATCTTCATGACAATTCTTCATTTTCTTGAGCGATCTGGTTCTTGCCAGCCCTTCGAGAAGAGATGGAAAGAGCACCATAGCCCCCTACAGTCCCAAATCATTACACACTTCAAAAGATAAGTATCCATTCAATTGGTATAACTTATATCAGCTAGCTAAGCCAAGCCTTTGATATATCTATAAGTTTATACATATATGTATATTTTTCTTTTTCCTTATAATATCAAAGAGCTAGAGAGAACCAGTAAGCAAAACCTGGTGTGATTTCAGTCCGGCACTGATTCGCGACGAAACAATCAAACAAACGTTTGGTCTTGCTTATACTCCATTTTCATCTCCTTCTCCTTCTTCTGTTTGCAAGCTCAAGTATGGGTACGCAAAAGTATGCTTTGAGTGTGAAATGACTATCGTCTGCCGTTAACTTAGCCACCCTGTGATGTAGGCGTCATGGCCCTTTTCGACATTCTTGTGAGAGAGTTACATCAACGTATTCATATATGATATATATATATATATATATAGCCGTGCCCACTTTGGCCATGCTTTTAGTTTAAGATATCATCAAATGGTATACGTGTGTTATGTGGATTTGGAAGCACTAATTGGATTTATCATTGCTAATCAGAATATTCTACTTAAAGTCGGTCTTAAACACTAAACAAATGGAAAAAGACTCGTACGGCGTAATTAAAAAGAATTAATCATGAGGGAGGGGGAGATTAGATTAGCATATCTTGGAGAGTATTTAAGAGTGTTTATTACAAAGTTGTGATTGCGAAAGTTTGTCAATCAAAAGAAGATTAGGTGGGGAACGAAATGCTCCATCCAATGAGGATTAGGGAAGGGATTAAAAAAGTCATTACTTGGTCCAATGAGATCATGCACCAAACCAAACACAAGGCTATGATTCTGAGTGAGCCACTTGTTTTGAGGGACCAGGTATGTCAAAATCACAGGTCAAACGACTTGCATGATTGTGAGCCTCAAATATATGTTATGCAGGAGGGACCATGCATTTTCTGGTTACTTTTTCATGACAAGTCTTTAAAAAAATGGTATTGTTTGAGATGTAAATTATAGCAATCGTGTTCTTTATATTTCATACTGATTGTGATCTTATCCTCCAACAGAAGGGAAAGATAATGGTGGGGATGGGTTTTATAAAGCTCAAGTCAGATGTTGTTCAACTAGCGAAAATTGTGGTTGCTGTTTCTTCTCTTACCAAATAAGTTTCCAAGTGAGCTTTAAGCCACGCATGCGGAAGCTTGGACTCAACCGAAAATGGCTTATTTCTAAAGTGCTTTTTGTCTTTTGAAAAAAGCTAAGGGAAGAGAAGCAAAAGTTGACTACTGAAAGGCAATGCAACATAAATATATTTTCTATTAATTTAATTTTTTTTCACATCATACAACTACTGGATTCATCATTTTCCAGTTCCCTGATCAACAATTCCATCATTTTCTTATACATAGGCATGTAGTGATCATTAATCATCGTCCTAGAAAGTCGGAGCTTACTATACAGTTCTCTAGGTGTCTCGTATATACCCACATGTTCTTCAATAGGTCCATCATGATCTAAATTAATTGAATCAGACGAAGGGGCAGAAATAATGTGCATGATTCTGCCAGGGGGGTAGAACCGGTGGCTCTCTGAAACATCTAATGAAGAGATGGCCGTATTGCTTTCTGCAACATCAACCAGCATGTTTTCTTCATCGGTTATTTCTCTCACTGCAGCAGCTTCTTCCTCCTGGGCCTCGACATTGACGTCATTCTCCCGCCTCGTAAGCTCCTTCTCCAGTTCATACCACAACTCACCTTCAGTGATGTCTCCAACAGTAGATGTAGTAGTATTTTCATTCACTGGCAAAAGCTGCTCCTCTTCATCGGTGTCATCATGACCGGATCGGCCACTAAAACTAGATTCCAAGTTATTCTGCATTGGATCTATGATCACTCTTTCAGTCTCAGATTCAGAATCCTTTTCACATACGACAGAAGCTTCAGGCAAATCATCTGCTTTAGAATTCAATAATGGACCCACATTCCGGCGACGTGCACCCATGCAAGACCATGATGATATAGATGAATGAGTTCTGACAACAACATTCTGTGCACGCTTCATCACAACCTACAAGTTACCGAGCAGAAGCAAAGCCTGTCATAACACACATAAAGTAGGAGACACACACACACACACAAATGATGCTCGATGCTAATATACTTGATGATGTTTCCATAACAGTCTAATTACTAAACAAATAGACCAGTATAGTGTAGTTCAACCAAATGAGTCAATATTAGCACCAATTCACTAACAGTTCTACATAAAGACATTGTACAAATTACTACACCATAACATAAAGAAACCAGTGAATTAGATTTCTCACGTGACCACAAGTCAGCAAGAGTGGACCTGATTAACAGTCAGTCATCAAATAAAAGAAAAATTAGATTTACCTGTGTGCTGCTAGATACTGGCCGCAACAGTGCACCAGCACCAGCAACCCTCGCTTTTGCACTAGCTATAGATGGTAGACGAGAACCCAGAGCAGAGGCAGAGCGATAAACAACATTCAAAACTCTTGTACGTTCAACCTGATCCCGCAAATCATTTAACCAAGATGAAGCTGTGACCTGATGATGGCATATTCTAATAAGAATTCTGAAAAAGTCTAACAGATGAGAATTGAACTACATTATTCATGAGCAGCAAGAATAAATGCTAATGCATCCATTTCAATGTGGAGAAAATACAGTACCTCACACCGGAGATCATCAACAGAAGCTGCTGAGAAAGTAGGCACCAGGTCAGAGCCATTGATGATAGTAGTGATGAAGTGCTTGCCAGATTCTGCCAACTCCCACGTTATACAGGCAGCTGCAAAACAAAAATTACAGTACAAGCAATTGAGCATTTTCTAATAAAGCAGCCATAGGAAAGACCTCAGAATGACCTTCAAGCATAGAATGGCCCAATCGGTTCTTCAGAAGTAACAAGTCATATTTGATACCTTATATCTACGTAATTTATTAGCGCATTTCCATGAACAAATGATTATGGAATGCTAGAACCACTAACAAAAGAAATTCAGATGACATGCCTGGGGCAAATGTAATGCAAGTGCTTGAAGAGAACTCTTTCCGCTCTCGAAGAATATATGTTAACAATGCAGCTGTACCACCACCCAGTGAATGCCCAATAACCTGATATGCAGATTTCAAAATTAGAAAGAATAATAGCACAGATAAATCATCCTAGTATTATGAAATTCTGTACATTTTATTAATTTTAAAACTAAAACTAATCAACATCAATTTTGATGGAAAATTAGTAGTTTTAAAACATGTATAAGCAGGAAAAGCGACACAGTTTTTGATCAATTTTGAAATGGCAAATTAGTAGACAAAGTGGCATGCAATTTTTAAATGACAGAAACGGCATCTACCTTTATTTTGTAGTCAGGATATTCACCAAAAGCCTTGAGCAAGCAAGGAGTACTGATCATAGAAATCCAACGGGCTGCAGCAACCATCCCACAGTGGGCATATCCTAGGACTAAGTTGCTTATTCCACCATCATGCAAAACCGAATGGTGGAATGGGGCCACTGCTCCAGTAGCAGCAGTTAGTGTATCTTTGATGCTATGTGTACCACGTATTAATAGAAGGAAGCATTTTGAGTTTTTATCACGAATAACTGTGAATGCAGGCTTCAGAAGCTGCAAGCATAGTGGTGCTAATTAAGAGACGAATCAATCACAAGTTTTAAAGCAAATAATGAAACTAAAGGATGCTTTATCACAAAAGCATAGAGTTGTGAGGAAGATTATATGCCAACATGACTATCAAGTAACTCAAAACACAGTGGTCGATAGAAATAACTTGTAGCACATATTTCACTTCTCATAAATTGTCCATTAACATAAATGTTCACCTTTCCCGAGCTTTTAACAGCATCACTCTATTAACATAGATTTCCATCTCTCATTTCCACATAAATTTTGATTCTTGAAGGTGTTTCCATTTTTATTTTTATTTTTATGAGATAGGGGGGATAAAACCCCAAAAGAAGGTGTTTCCTTTTAGTTTCCCTACGAAGTATAAAACTTTGGTTGTGATGAGACAAATGTTGAAGGAATAAGTACTATGGATTTTGGGCATGTGGCAGCTCTTGTTTGAATCCATGGATTTCATATTATGTATCATTACCTACACTACAAATACGTATACTTAAAGAGTTCCTTGTTATTATTGAGTTTAGACTCAATAAGGGAATGTTATCCCTCCACATCAAGCTGAGAACTGAGAAAGGCAATTTCTAATAAAAACATGAACAAATGTAGTTAGAGAGTGTAAAGGTAAGAGCTTACGAACCCCAGCCTTGGGCTTCTGAAGAAGTACATCTTCCTGAGAGAAACCCCCGGACTCTAAAAACACCGGAAACGGTTTCTTTGAAAAAAGCATACAAAGCGTCAACAACTTCAAGTAATAATGCAACTCCTCAATAATTCCAGACCCTTTGAGCTGCACACTATCACTACCAGCATATACACTCGCAACTTGTAAATTACCCTGCAAGTTAACCAAAACCAGGGACCTGACATGTAAATAACGAAACTTTCGGAAGCATTGCCCCCAGAGAAGTGAAGTTTGCAGAAAGAGACCCCGAATTTGAGCGAATTACTCACCTGCCTACGCATGAGGTAGTTAATGCCGAAGGCCAAATCGCCGATCGGCCACTTGCCGAGTGTTTCAGAGTAAGTGAACCGGAGCGTATCGGACAATGTGTTCAGCGACTCGAGCCACGTGGCAGGCGCTTGCGCCGGTCGCCGAGAGAGCCTCTTTCTCGCCGATCTCATCTTCGAGAGATTTCCACTCCGATCGCTGTCGTCGTCGTCGGTGTCAACTTGCGACGCCAACCTCCGATTAAACACGTAGTAGATAAGTACGGCGGCTCCGGCGGCGGGGGCCGCACCGCCATAGAATCGAACGGTCGAGATTGAAAGCTCAGAAGAACGACAGCACACCAGCACTAGCAAATTAACTCTGGAGAAACTAAAACTCGTTAGAAATCAGATGAATTGAACTGAAATGTTTGAGATTTATGATGCTTAATTTGATTGAAGGAGAAATCAGGGCTTCGCAGAAGAATCGAATATGAAGAATATGGATTTGGGCCTCTGGCGTCTGAGGTAGCTACAGAGAGAGACCACTACAGAGAATGTGCGCGAATAAAGAAAGAACCGCGACATGTGAAATTACGCGAATAGCCCCCCCAGATGCAATAATTGACGTCGGACATAACGGTATGATGTCCAAACGTAACTTTTTCGTTTTAAGGAAGGGTAATTTGGTCACGATAATTTTTTACGTGTTGTGCAAATTGGAAGGGCGCCCACGTTAGGGATAATTTGTGGGTTTTGTATTTGTTTGGGAAAGGGTGGTAGATGTGACAAAAGAAGTGCGTGTGGGGTAAGATGGGGTGGTAGGCCCCGTGTGTTGGATAGAGGAGCTGGCTTCAACCCAGCTCAAGTCTATATCTGTTCTACTTTTATATAGATAATAATTGGGTAGGCTCCGCAGGTCAATGTTGATTTATTGGGGTGACAAGACCCAAATGATGCTAGGTTTGGTCACCAAATTTGATCCTACTTACTCATACTCAGGATCGACATTAATCCTGCGGATTCAAATAATCCCACTGATTCGAATTATGGTGGTTGGTTTGGTTTGGTTTTGATCTAGAAAAAATTTAATTGGTTTAAAATTTTAACTGAACCGTAATTGTTTGATTTAGTTTGATTCTAAGCTTTTGTAAATCGACTTAAATCAAATCAGACTTTCTACTTGTATATTTATTTATTAATTTATTATGTTATTTTACTTATTTAACCCTCTCATTTGAAGTTTGATGGAACTTTGAATTGTAACTGTATTAGTTATTAAAATTTGGAGTTCTATAGCATGCTGAATTTTATGATGGTTTGATATGCCTATAAAATGAAACAATATGTATCATATTATGATTTTATTATTATTATTATTATTATTATTATTTTTGTAATTGAGCTAAAATAATTTGAAAAAGAATGCAATGAAAAGAATTGGGCATAGGCCCAATCTACCGAACCAAACCGTTTTAAATTGGTTTAGTTTGGTTCAATTTCTTTCATGGTTTTTATCAAAATCAAACCAAACCAAATCATTCTATTGTAATTGGTTCGACTTTAGTTTAAGATGAAACAAATCCATTCTGGACCGTTCCCGCCCCTACTCATGATGCGTCGCAAATAATGCTTTATGTTAATGCATCTTAGGCTTTGGTGTCCTTCTTTTAATTGGGTGATGAGATGTGGGAGAGCGGCATGAATTTCTCATACCTGCGTGGGTGGTACTTATGCAACTGTACTGTTCAGAGTCAATTTTTGGGCCCAAACCCATTTGGGTTACTTGTTTGGAAATTGGATCACAAGGAAGACAACAACAAAAAATGCATTGAGCAAACATAAATGCATTGGAGTTAGCCCAAAACAAACGGCTTCCTGAGCTTTGATTATCCAACCCATTTTCAGCATTCCGTAAATTTGGCATTGAATTTTGGGTGCAAACGGGTTTCAGTTGACTTTAACGTATTACGAACATTATAAAATGTGAAACTTCTAATCCAATTGGAATTTTCTCTAAATAAAACAAGGCATGCCATAAAACAAAGCCTACATCCTATTGTTATTCACAAAGAGCCTCGCCAATCTCAAAACAAAAGCACCTAGCCCAAGGCTTTGGAAATGGCAGATGGCAAAGGTTAAATTCCAAATGCTAAGATTGCTCAAATTAAGAAAGATTCTGGGAGGGTGGAAACTATTGGCATTGGGCAATGACAACAACAACTAGGGCACTTTTCCAAAAGTTGCCTTGTGTTCTGGGGTCCATCATATGATCATCATAACCCTACAAATCCTAACCTTTGTTAACAAATTGCCTCAAAAGGGTAAAACCCTTGAGGGAGGAGAGATGGCGAGTTAACTTTACTTGCCAACATTATAGCGATTATCAGTTATTGATGCATGTAAAATTCGACATAAAACTTATAGTTAATATTTTCCATACATTAATTAATAATTATCTATACACACGTAAAGAAGTATCCGTTAACATTTTCGATTTTACACCATAACAAACTATGTGTGTGTTAGGTTGAACCAATACATGGTCAACATGGATAGGCATAGGTCTAGCTTTTCTATCAAAATCAAAACAAAAGAAAATCCAAAGTAAAATCTAGGTAAAATAGTACAAACTTAGAGGGCTCTCTTGACCTACTCTTGATTGCCAAATTTATGCCAAAGTTTCAACTGGGCATTATATGCGGCAGTCCACATAGTTTTGCACCTACCATACACCTTTTTCACGTGTAAGTTTTTATTAGATTCAATCAATATTTGCATGGTTCCTATTGAGAAATAGGTTTGGCTACCTACCTAATAAAGAGAAATAATTCATTCACTGTGAGCCGTTCTTCATCTTGAGTTGAGTTTTAACTTTATTTGCCAGTTCATAAAAAATTTCTTGTAACGGAGATAATATTATTTTGCTATTTTTTGCCAATAATGTAATGACACATAGAAAAGTTATTATGCATGTCATTGCACTATTGGCGAGAATAGCAAAACAATTTATTCCCGCTGCATAAAAGTCTCTCTCCAGTAGCTGTTGCCATCTGCAACATTCAATCTTTTGGACCCTCCATTTATAGCCCTTTTGGTTGGATGGCAATTAGTTAATTCATATGACACAGACGTTTGTACCGTAGAGTATAGACCTCATTGCTAACTTTTTTTTTCTTCCAAGATACCAACAGAATTCATTTCATGATAGCCAGGATATTCACCTACCATTTTGCACTATCTTAAAGTCTTGTTTGGGAAACGTTTGGTGGTGAGATTGTTGTAACAATTATACCATATTGCTGATAATTATACATAATATGGATGGGATTATACCAAATATACCATTTTATTTTGTTAAATACATGAACAGTAATATTGGTACCTAAATTCACAAACTAACAGTATATCATGGGCAATGATTTCTCCACTCCTATTTTATCCACTTACACTCCTTTTTTAGTTATAAAAAAGGAGTATAAGTGGATAAAATAGAAGAAAAAGGAGTGGGGAAATCACCACTCTATATCATTACTTTCTTAGTTTAAGATAAGCTCTATATATAGTGAATTTATATTTATAATATACAACTCAAATCTTAGGATGGTATACCAGCCAAATCGAAAAAATAATAAAAACCAAGACACTATATCAGATATCGACAAAGATGAGTTGCTAGAAAATCCGTAGGGCGACCCCACAAGAAAGTAGCCTAAAACCCCAACCCATTGCCTTTTTCATTTAAAATTTAAACCTCAGGCATGCATCAGCTTAGCCAAATTCGTTGGAGCGGATGTAATTCTCACTCTGCACCCATCTTCGAGTCTCTCTTTCCGTAGTATAGAATGGATCAAAAATTTGAACCTCAAATACTAAGATAAGAAAAAAATAAAAATAAAATTGAATGACTATAATGGCTGGCTAGGCCGCCTCAAATTATACCACGTGGCAAGATTAACGGATGACCTCTTCTCATTCCCTCTTCCCACCAAGGGGCACCAACTGATCCACTTTCAAAAATCACACCCGCAAACTTTGCTCTTTTTTCTTAACCGCTCCACCTTGCCATCACTCTGCCTCTCTCTCTCTCTCTCTCTCTCTCTTAAAACCAAAAAAATTACAGGAAAACACACATGCAGAAGAAAAACTACACATTGCCTTTGAATCTTTGAAACCCCCTCATTCAAAGTTTCAAACATTTTCTCATTCTTTTCCATTTCCACCTTCCATTTTTTCTCTGTTTTCTCAGTGAGAAAAAATGGGACATGACTCTGATTTCAAATCCCAGTTGGTGACAGAGATTTGCTCCATTTCCACACGCTCCATTGCCTGCTCTCATGGGCATGGCTGCAGCAACAGCCCAGCTAAATCATCATCTTTCATCGATTGGTATCGTCTTCTTCGAGTACGTTTTCTTGGACCATCTTGATTAAAAACGTAACCCATTTGTGGGATTCTTATTATTTTTCTCTTTCTTTCTCTATTTAATTAATTTCAAGATTAATGTTTATGCGTTTCTGGGAATGAATAGGTGCAAGAAAATGCTGGAAGGGATGTTATAAGAAAGAGGTACCATGAACTTGGTAGGTTTGGCTAAAAGATTTAACATTTCATATTCCTTAATTGGCGGTGGTGGTGATTATGGTTAATTAGGCTTATTCTTTTGTGCAGCTTTGCAACTTCATCCAGATAAGAACAAGCATCCCAAGGCTGAGATTGCCTTCAAACTTGTCTCAGAGGTTAGAATTGCATTCAACCAATCCAAGTTCCACCCTTTTGATAGTTTTTGGTTGAGCTCTATTTTTTCTCTTGGCCACAAGTTGACAGTGGTCAATGGGAAAGAAAATTGAAATTTCATGGAGTTTGGTAGGGTTGGTTGTTTACCACAACCATGTCCTCCCAAAACATATTGGAGACAAAATTTCAGGTGCAGGTCTGTCCAGTCCAGTACAATGATATAAAGTTTTGTGGTAAAAAATAATATGCCTCCCCTTAATTGGGTTACATGGACTTTGGTGAAGGGTGAGTCCCATGTGAAAGGCTGACAGAACATATTGGACCCAACAGCATATTCATGTTTAGGGTGTGAGTGCATTGAATTGCAATACACTCACATTATGATTAATCTACTTAGCATATTGGCCAACTGGGTATAGCCCAATGGCAAAAGACCTCTGACTTGCAGAGCAATGGTCTTAGGGTCGAATCCCTATGGCATCTTGGCAGGCAGTGTGTGAGAAAAACCCCCTTCCTGTTCCTAACTTTGGTGAGGAAAAAAAAATCTATTTAGGATACTGGGTTTGCTCAAATTTATGATTTGTTATTGCAGGCATATTCATGTCTCTCTGATAATGCAAAAAGAAGAGCTTTTGACTTAGAGAGATGGAGGAAGTTCTGCTTTGAGTGTGGTACAATCCCCTACACCACCCACAAAACTTCAAGCAATGCCAATGCTTCAGAACACAAGGCTTGTAATCCCACAAGCTCGTCAAGGTCTTGCAAAGTTGTCAAGGGTCTGAAAGATATCAGAAACAGGTTTAGGGAGGAGGCAAGAGTTATAGAAAACTG